GTATCGGCAAGTACTCAGATCCAAGTATCGGTATCGTATTGGTTTGAAAAAATTGGTATCGTTGCATCCCTACCTTTAAGTGCCGTCTCCAGTGGTGGAAGATGCTCTTGTTCAAACTGTGAGTGTAGTTGGTGCTGGTAGTGATGACAGTAATTTTCCAGTAGTTTCCACTATTAGTGGTTCCACTTATTAGAGCGGGATCCACCCCCACACATCGTTTCAGGCTCCACCAGACTGTCAGGACATTGAATGCCTTCCTCTCTTTACCCACTCGGCACCATGCCTTACAGCCAACCTTTGAAAGAAACTAGCTCTTTATCATTCATGTAGTTTCCACAGTAGTCTTTTCTTTACACTACTTCCAAGCACTTTGTAACAATTTTATTCTCTAATACATGCCTTTCTCATTTTGTATATATCCCTAAATTGTATATACTTATCCTGTTTGCTATTCAGATTTTAATCTGACAGAGTTTGTGTGGAGCACCCACAGCTTTGTTGTACATGTACGATGACAACAAAGGGCTATTCTATTCCAGTCTAAGATACCACACTGTTCAAACTTAGTGTCCCTCACAATCACGGACTGACAATCACATTTTTCCACTTTTGTTAATCACTAGAACTATGCCACTGGATGCACTGATTTCTTTAAATTAATAAAACTGTGGTGTAGTGTGAGTACTAGCACTTCTTCCAGTGTTTCAGTCATTTCTAGCTCAGGGAGTAAATAGTAAATGAAATGCATGAGCAAAGTCAAGTGTTTTGTCTTATCCAGCCAAGCACATTTGTCTATGCTTTTCTAGATTAGTGCTTTCTATCCATCCAGCTGCATCGGAGAGCAACTTGAAGCCATAGGATATTTGGCATGTAGACTAGAGCAGCCGGGGAACGAACCACGAACAAAACCTTCCGGTTAATAGAAAGAAGTAGATTAATAGTACTTTATTTACAGATTGAAAGTCACTTTCTGCACATTTAAATGCTGTGTCCATTACATTTCATGCCATTCTATACGATTTAATGGGATCTGTCAGTGCAAAGTTTCCCAGTTTAAACCCCCAGTTTAGCTGCAGGCCTTCTGTGTGGTTTATATGTTCCCTGTCAGCTGGGTTTTAGTGCTGGCTAAATCAAAACCCCTCAAATTTCTACAGGCTAACGCTGTGTGCAGAGACTAAAAAGTGCCTGTAACTGATGCCTGTGGTTGTGTCAAGCTCTCCCAAACAGATGGTCAGGACAGCAGTCGTCCTTAGGCTAATCAGAAAATGGGGAAACACCAGAGGAGAGAAGAGCGAGACATTAAAGGAACAGATTGAGTAAGCTGGCAGAGTGGGAAACGTATCGAGAAAGTGTCCTATAATCTAGAAACTTCACAGGGTTCAATCTGGCTTATTAGAGCTTGTTTTCAAGTGCCTCCAAATTGATTTTGGTCTTCTCCCACCTAGGACTGAAGATGGTTTCCGAAGTGAGCAGACGTAAAATAGAGGAGTGAGACAGAGGAAGTGAATGCAGAGCTACAGAAGAGTTTTATTAGACATGCTACAGAGGTAATGCTGAACACATAAGAGACACCGTGAGAGGGGAAACTCAAAACACAGAAAACCAAGTTGAACCTCCGTTGTTAGAAAAAAATTATCCTTTAATTGCACCAGCTTGAGTCCAAATCCTTACATTCTGAACTGCATTAAACAAAAACATAGCTTTGACGATAAAAAAAAATATACGTATATACACCAGGATTGGTTCAGAACAAACGCCTATGAAATCAGGTTTGTGATTTAAAAATAAAAGAATTCAGTGAACACTTTGAATCGTGGACATTTTCCCCAAATACACAACACTTAAAATGCTCTTTTATATGATTTAACACTAAAGGCACAGAAACTTTGGTCCAACTGAGTAGCCCTCTCAAGTACAGTGTCACATGACAATGCAATCACAGTGGACTCATCTTTTTACTGCTTCCACAGCATGCAACACTTATGTGAGATCCTATCATCACGCATGCTTTAAAGAACACTGTCACCAACTATTAAACCTCACTGCTATAGAAAAGAAAAGCAAGGAAGGCTCCAAAAGCACATAACAAAATACTTTACTACATTGTCATAGTTTCTTATGCATGGATTGTGCTAGAACAATCTTCCACTGAACGTCCCTTTGGAATAAAGGCGTTCCAGTTAAACTGCCTGTCGTAGGCTACCAAAACATTTTACCTCAGCAACCTTCAGCTCTCCTGCTGCTAAACTAAAAAGGAAAATGTCGTCTAAAACTGGAGAAGAAAAACACGGCCATGCCCAGTCAGAGGCGCAGCTTCTAGACTGTTCTGTCTAGATGAATAGAAATTGCATTCTCATCAACTCATTAATACTAATGTGCCTCGGTAGGAGTTTGATAAATTAACATATCCAACTGCAGGAAAAGATAGTTGAGTAAGGCACACGAGTACTGTATCTTTCATTTAAAACTAACGTACAGGGGGACAACCAACCATTTCAAGGTTCTGCTTGACAAAAACATATGGAGACACTTCAGAAAGAGCTGGGGAGATCCAATGTTGTTCTTTTTAAAGAAAAGGATATCAAGGAATGATACAAGATAACTGATTCAATCTATGTGGTCCCCCTGGTGTTCAGACGATCTAGGAGCTTTAAATCGTTCAACCATCACAGTCATACTGTCAGGAGCCTGTGGGTCACGTTCTTAAATGGTGGACTTGGAGAACGAGACTCTCAGGTGCTGGTTGCCTCCCATGTTATAGTTGTGGAGGTCGATCAGTGCCTGGATGGCTTCCTCCACTGTTGACATCTGGATCAGAGCCATCTTGCGATCTCTTGAAAACACGAGACAAACACCACAGATTAACTAGATGGATGGAAGTGGCAGGATGGAGCTTTACGGGAATCTTTAACAAATGTTAGCCTGGACTTGTCCAGTAGGTAGGACAGCTGTACGTACTGGAAAAATTTGAATGCTTTCACAGTGCCTCCAGTGTTGGAGAAGAGCAGCCGCAGGTCATCTTCTGTCACATCTTGTCTGCCAAAGTGAAAGACACAGACTAGCATCAGCTCTTTTCTCCGAGTCTAATCATTTAGCAGTTGAATATCAACGAGATCTGTTCATTAGCCACCACACCAAGAACACAGCTAATCTCATTAACAGCTGTGCTAGTTAGTATTTCAGAACTCCTTTGGTGTCCTCTGTGTGATGCCAACTGACCATACCAGTACTTACGGGATATTGGAAAGGTGAAGAGTGGCAGAGGGTGGAAAGATGTTCTGGAAGTTCTTGGAACCTGGTTTCTTGAAACGATGAAGTGGGGAGTTGGCAAAATCCTTGGTTAGACCTTGATCATCCAGGCCGTCCCGAGGCAACGCCACCGTCTGGTGCTTGGACAGAGTCACCCGGATGATCTTCCCGTACATCTTTTGGCCATTCAGGTGGCTCATAGCTTTAGTGGGGGTAAAAGAAATATCAGTAGGATGAATGCTATGTATCAACAGATCCCAAAGTGTTTACATTCCTATGCCATGTTAACACAGTGAAATCTTTCAAATCCACTCAGATGTAAGATGGCGGTGCGCATGGACGCAGCGGCTCGTCGAGGGACAGGTGAGAAAGTTTTGTTTGTTTTGCAAATCCAACATTCTGGCTGTAAAACTTGCAGCCAAGAGACCTTACTGAAAATCAGGGCAAAGTACGTTGTTTGAACTACAATGCTTGCTTGCAACAAGAGCAGGTGATATGGCCAAAAATATTTATCACGATATATATTTGAAAATTTGCGATAACGATATAACTGACGATATAATTGATGCGAGACAAAATACAACTCCACAACTTTACCAGCGCAAAAAACCATCCATTTATTTTCACTTAAAGAAGCAGCTGTTTTTTATGTGCATTAAAGCTATATAAACATTTAACAGGGCAAATGCAAATTCCTTGCTGAAAGTTTAACCAAAGGGCATCTCCAGTAGAAATGGGCTGACACATCCTCAGCATAACCATGTATAATATCCACTGAAGTTAAAAAGAGCTGCTTTGCAACATTAAACTGCAGTGTGACAAATAAAAAAGTCTAATACGTATTTTTCGGACCATAAGCTGCACGAGATTATAAGACACATTAAGCGAAACAAAGCAGTCAGATAAATAAAACTTTATTCAACTCATTCTTCTTGCTTCCTCCACTTCTGTACCATTGATTCATTAATGCTGTATTCTATCACAGCTGCTCTGTTCCCGTGTTGTTGCAGTATATTAATAACTAACCTCGTATTGTGGATGGATTATCTCAGTTGTTCTCCTGACTGAAGTTTGGTCCGTTTACAGCATCCTGCCATGTGATTGCATTTGTCTCTAACCATCAGAATCCCTCACGTTAACTTTTATCGAGTGGAAAAAAGTTAGCGTTCATCCTCCAGCTTCACTGTGTTTATGCTAACATAGCTGTGTCGCTAGCAATCACATAACACATCATTATATAGCAGCTAGTCCAACTTCAGTAACCCTACAAACGTCACTGCTGTTTAGTTTTCTGTCTTCATTTATGTTGGAAGTGATAGCAGAGCTGTACGTTTGAATGTTTCAGAAATCTCTCAGTCAGAACATGCTATATCATGTTTAGGTGGAAGCTAGCGAGCTAACTTCCTGTAACTTCTAACTCTGTTAAATTTAATAAATCCTGTTTTCATGGATGCCTGAATGTTAAACTTCATTGTTACACCTGGTAAAGCAGCAACGCTGATCATTTTATTAAAGACGAAAGAATTTAGACAGTTTTTAACTCTCAGTGTGCTGCAGTGTTCGTTTGACTTGATGGAGTTTAGGACCCAGATTACTCCCAGATTTACGAGCACCATAGTCCAACAAATACGGTAATAGCGACGGCCGCTTGCATGTTCTACTACAAAAAGTGCTTTGTTGTGTATCTGACGGACAAACACCAAACCAGTTCCACATCACTGAAGTTGCACCATTTTTACAAACCAATTCTGGTCCATCCGTTTCACTCAACAATCCGCTTTCCCCCTTCTCATTCTCCGTTGCCGCCATGTGCATATGAAAACAAATGCACTGCACATGCGTGTTTTAACCATATTCTATCGCGATGTGTGTCCACGTCTCCTCAGACCTGACATGGGCTGCCCACATTCAGGTCCAGACCAAAAAGGCTAGGCAGCGCCTGTATCACCTACGACAACTGAGGAAGTTCAGGGTCTCTCCAAAGATCCTCAGGATTTTCTATACAGGCGCTGTGGGGAGCATCCTCACACAGAACATTACATCGTGGTTCGGGAACAGCTGTGTTAAGGACCAAAAAGCTCTCCAGAGAGTGATC